TATATATATATATATATATATATATATATATAAACATATATTGTGAATGCATGCTCGCTAGGCTCTTTCCTTGTAAACATTCACAATGTGATGATACATCATATCTATCATTTGAAAAAAGCCATTGACGCCTTAGGCTGCAAGGCCATGTTACCTGTCACTTGGCAAGAAGAGCTTGTGAGCATTGGCAGCAACAAAATGCTACGCCAATGATTAAAACTTTGACAATTTTGGGGACTGGACTCAGCATTTGGAGAATTCACCATATAACAAGGTTTCATGTTCACCTCCCACAAACTTATATTCATGAATATGCTATTCCAGATTTACATGAGGATAGGTTGGCTGCTTATATCAGTCAATATAAGATCATCACCATCATCAAAGTTTTTTTTTTTTTTTGGTCACCAAAATGATGTGATATTATCATATTTGCACAGCAATGCAGTATTTATCAATTAGTATGGATTTCATGCAAGACCTACCTATGACATAAAAAGAAAAAATCAGTCTTCATAGTCATCAACAAATTTTCAAAAATGACTCATTGTATCCAATGTAGAAAGATAACCAACATGGTTAACACTGCAATTTTTTTTTCAAGAAATCGTTCAGCATCACTAGGTGCTTAATACTATTGTGTACAATTGAGATAAGAAATTTGCATGCCACTTTGGGTGAGTGTTATTGAAAAAAATTGATACAAGTCTAACACTAATCAGTGCTATCACCTGCATACTGATGGGAAAATGAAAGTTGTGAATCCAACTACCTAAAACACAAAAGTAGGTGACCAGACAAAATCCTGGGATCAATCCGTAGAACAAGTTGAATTAGATGTCAATAAAATGGTTTATATAAGTCACGACAAAGTCTCGCATTTCCATTATGTATATTAAGGTGTCAAATGCTATGGTTGATCTCATGCAGCTTGCCCCAAGCAGAACATATCACGAGGTGGAGGAAATAGCTAAGCACATTATCAAGGCGCGAAGAAAAAAAAATGCAGAAGTTCAATGCTAAATACTCAATGATTACAAATTGTCCAGAATGCTACAAGTTATTTAAGGAAGGTAATTTTGTTATGGTTCACTTGAACAAACATTAGTGCCATGCAGTAATGAATCACAAGCTACCAACTAAAAAAATTGGTCATCAACGTTCACCAACAACGCCTACATTATTGATGTATAAAACTGCCCGAGGATTTCAATATCATTTCACGTTCACCAATGGTTCACTTGAAAAAACATTGGTGCCATGCAGTAATGAATCACGAGCTACCAACTAAAAAAATTGGTCATCAACGTTCACCAACAACGCCTACATTATTGATGTATAAAACTACCCGAGGATTTCAATATCATTTAATGTTAAAAGCATTTTTTAATAACATCCAACAGATGCTGTCGCTATTGTTGAACCGCACCTCGAAGTAGAGTTCCTCTGAAGATGGGGAGAATTGAAGTAGGCACCATACGACACCATTACAAATTGATGCAGCAAATACACCCCACCATTGCCACCTCCATGTCTCCAATTAATTGTTTTTTACGGTCTATTTTAAAATATTATCCCCTTTTATTTATTTGTCCTTTCATTTATATAGTAATGATATCTTAGCTATTCATAAGACAGAGTTGGTGAACTTTTGATTTCATATTAAAGAAGAAATATTTTGGATAAAATTAAATAGTTTACCATGATTTTTTTCCAAGAAATCTCCTATAATCTCTGTTCTTCCTAAAGCTTTTGTAAAGAGCACCTCTTCTTCACTTCAACTCTCAATGTTAGTCCACTACATGCATCACAACTCTCCTCTCTCTCTATTGCTTCTTGCTATGGGATCTATCAAACTATTGATTTCCCCCCATTTTATAGTTGCATCATGAAGTGGCAAATGCAAAGGATTCAGCGTAAACGGAGATTTAGTTTGTTAGCAACCATTTTGAAAAAATAAGCATAAATGCAGATTGAGTTGGTCGCCATCAATCTTTAAAAATCAAATATGAATAGACCTTTGAGTTTGGTAGCCATGGAGCATGAAAATAAAAACCAAAACATATCCAAAATACTACATGGAATTTATACCTCATATTTAATACCAGAAATGTATTGATAAGGTTCCTTGGTGTATGCTTTTTGCTTACGATAAGGTTCCAAGAGATATCCTTTGGAGAGCTCTCGAGAAGAAATGTGTTGATATGACTTATATTCAAGTCATTAAAGATATGTATACTAGAGCTGTTACTTGTGTTCAAACTGAACGAGGATTGACAAAATATTTTCTTATTTCTGTTGGTTTACATCAGGGATCGACTTTAAGCCCATATCTTTTTGCTTTAGTTATGGATGGTCTTACTGGACATCTACAAGAGGATGTACCTTGGTGTATGCTTTTTGCTGATGATATTCTTCTCGTGGATAAAACGAGAGAAAAAGCCCAGGAAAAACTTGAATTATGGAGGTCTACATTGGAGTCTAAAGGCCTTCGTTTAAGTAGAACTAAAACTGAATACATGGAATGTAATTTTAGTAGTAATAGCTCTAGTGACAGAAGTGTGACTTTGGGTGATCAAATTATTAAAAGGTGTGAACGATTTAGATATCTTGGGTCCGTTGTCCAAAGCGATGGTGATATAGATGGGGATGTTAATAGTAGAATTCAAGTTGGTTGGTTGAAGTGGAGGAATGCTTCGGGCCTTTTGTGTGATAGAAAAGTACCGCTAAGACTGAAAGGAAAATTTTATAAGACGGTGGTGAGATCTGCAATGCTCTATGGCGTTGAATGTTGGCCTTTAAAAGCGAAGCATAATAATAAGTTAAGTGTTGCCGAGATGAGAATGATTAGGTGGATGAGTGGCTTTACACTTAGAGACAAAATGCGGAATGAATATATTCGTGATAGGGTTGGTGTAGCTCCTGTGACAGACAAAATTAGAGAAAGTCGTCTTAGATGGTTTGGTCATATTAAACGTCGACCATTAGATGATCCGATTAGGAGAGTAGATGTTTTAAATTCGACTTGTGTTAAGAAAGGCAGAGGTAGACCTAGGAAGACTTGGGCTTATTGTATTAAAAATGATCTTAATTTACTAGAACTAAATGAAAATATGACACTAAATAGGACGCAATGGAGAAAAAGGATTCATGTAGCCGACCCCACGTAGTGGGATTAAGGCTTTGTTGTTGTTGTTGTTGTTGTTGATTTAATACCAGAAATCTTAATGAATAAGGTGGGGCTTCTAAAAGAATGCTGATAATAGTATATCAATCTTTCCATTCTTCGATATTTTCCAAATTTATTACAAACTAAACAGGACCCCTTGTTCTTTCATAATTTAACTATTTTAACTGTCGCAAAAAAAAAACTTTAAATCTGCTGTATTTCAAAAAAACTACATAAATTTCTATATGACAAGCATGTGGGCATATACTTCCTCAAAAATATCCTGAGCCAACTTTGTTCCGTTTTTCGCATGCAGATCATATATTGTTACACAGTTCACGCAAGTGATAACAAATTTCAGTTCCTTTAACTATTAAAAATTAATGAATTTAGACTCGTAGCGACAACATTAACAGACTCATGCATTCAGCCCAAAACTTTTGTTCTTCTTTCAAGGATAGCATCAATCGCTGCTCAAGTTTCATGATTAAGAAAATCAAATGTATGTTATGCAGACATCGTTTCGCAAGCCTCTTTCTTTATCTAAATCATCCTAACGAAAATAAAAACAAAACAGAGACAACGCCCATGCTCAGATTCAAGCAAATTAGCCCGACGGAACCCTGCCCATCTAATCTCTGAACAATTCTATCGCATCTCCCACATCTGTTCTACTAATACATACTACCGCATCCTATCCCGATGTCACCAATTCTCGTTCTATTGAAGTAAAATTATGCAAAAAAAAAAAAAAAAAAAATCCTATTGAAGATATGACCTGATTGGGGGTAAGAATTCCAAGATTTTTTTGAAGGCCTGGGACCTCCGCAGCCCAATTGTCGCCTCCGATGCTCAACTCCGACAAGCTTCCCACCACAGAAGACATTTTCTGTCGCCGTGCACCGTCTTCGGTGCAGTGCCGAAGATATAGATTAACGGAGACGGAAGAGATGTATGTATGCGCGGCAAGAGAGCTGGAGGATCCCGAAACGATACAAACACATAAACTTTTGATTAGGTACTTATTAGGAAGATCGAAATCAACATATTTGGCCGACAAATTTGTCCGTTAACTCCAGCGAAATTACAAGATCCGCCTTTAACGTTCGGATACCCTCCAAATGTGTCCCGAATTCGAAGATCTAGCTTGCTGGTCAACAAAACTATGGTGACGCGCAGCGAGCGTAGGCTGTCGCTGGTCGTTGGCAACCCATGGCCGGTAATGGCAAGTTATGGTAGTATTTATTTTTAAAATATTAAAAATAGGCCAAATTATAGAAAGGAGCTGATTTTATAAAAAAAAAATTGTTTCATTAATAAATCTTATAATATTATTTAGGTTCTTTGATATTTTTCAAAAATTAATAAGGGATGTGCTCCTTTTTTTATTTTATTATATATAATATATTAAATATTATTATTTATTCTATACATTAAAAAAATATAAAAATTAATTTCAACATTAATTAACAAATTGTAATTTATTTTTAATTGATTAAAAAAATAAAATTGAATAATTTAAATAAACTAAGAAAATTTGAAATTTGTACCATTTACTTCATATTGAAATATTTGCAAATTGAAACAAATTAAATTAGTTAAAAAAATTGAACAAATTAAATCAACTAATATAATATTTATAAAAAAATTATCATTTTCTACGTCGGGGTGGAATATCGTCTGAGCTCGGTATATATTGAGATGGTGATCGCAATGATCGATGACGCAATTGATGTTCTTAAAGTTCTTCAATATAATCGATTTTTGTTGTGTAATTTGTAGCATCTCACGTCAATCATTTCTTACATCAGAAGTAGGTGTAGACATGAAATGTTCTGAAAATTTAGGTCCAAGTCTCCACCATTAGTTGTTGTCCACTGTGGGTCAAATGATGGAACCTCATATGCTGAGGGTACTGCATATTCGGAGGGTCCTACATGGATAGATGGTTCTGCATAGTTGGATGGTCCTACATAACTGGAGGGCCCCTCAAATACTAATTGGTCAGGATAAGCAAATTTCTCTGGATATTAGTGTTCTAGTGTTTCTTGAAACAAAAATCTTTGTGTTCTGCTAACTGAAGATCTTGTTGGAGTGTTTGTTGTTGATTGTCATGCAACAAAAGAAAACGATCGACATGAAGTGTCAAAGGTTGATCTTCGGGAATCTTGCGGTCTGACATTTATGCTACAAGACGGCCTTGCTTCGAAATCATTTTACTTAGCTGATCAAATGTCATTTAATCTTTGTGTATTGATTCTTCGACTCTACGTGATAGCTCCAGAATCTCGTAATAACCTTGTTTCATGGAACTAACACTTGCTGCACGATCCCCTTCAAACCTTATTGTGATGTTCTTGCTATGAATAAAGTGATGCAGCCGCATAATTGTTAATTTTATATTATTATTATGTATTATAATAAAAAAATTAGTAGTTGTTATTAAAGAACGCAAATGCTTACCATGATCCTTTCCCTGGTGATTGTGCATAATAGGTATCAGGAAGCTAAGTTGGAGGCTTCGATAGGTAGAGCGACGTCCACGACTGATACCACTACAAATATTGATATAATTCTTCCTCTCCATCTCCTTTTGGTGAGTTCATTGATATAATAAATGTTCGACAATTATTCCACAACTCGATATATTTACTGTGATATTGCTCCCACTCAATTCCTACTTTACCTCGCTTATCGACTATCTGAAAATCATGTTCGATGGGTTTAATGGTTCTAGACTGGAAACTTGAAAGCTGACGCATAACACGATCTGGAATGTGTCGTTTGACTCGCTTCCAGTTTATCAATGGAACATGTGCAGTCCAAATGTCTATGCTTTCAAAACAAATATTATTTAATAACATTGTATTTACATCTAAGTATGGTGTCCAGATAACTTGCGTATGTAATTATAAATTAAATTTAGCTAACATATAATGTTAAGACAAGATTATGAGATTAATTTAAAAATGTGTTATACCTGACTCTATCTGAGTTCATCAAGTTCATCTTCATATATCAGAATATTTAGTATCGAAACATCTCATACCCACTCTTCATTCCACCTACATTGTATTTATATAAATGAGTTTGGTGTAATTAAATAAATTAGTGTGTCTAGCTGTAAATTGAGAACATAATGGTAAATAATCTATTAAGTTGTTAATTTTATATTTGAATCCGAGGGATTTGTTCGTTAATTCTTGAGAAATTGGAACTTGAAAAGTTGATAGACCAACAAGTAAATGCTCTCATGCCTATGTTTGAAGCAAGTGCAAACATCCACTGATCGTGGCACGAGAAGGATTGATAACTAAATTCAATTCTCTATAGAATTATGTTAGGATTACACCATCCAAAAAATATTGTCTAATATCATCCAAATCTTCCAATAATGGTAAATCTTCTATGCGTACATGTGATTTGGATGTATATATAACTAGGAAACATCCGATCATGAATAAAACGTATGCCCTGACAAAAATTTACTTTGTGGCAAATCCAACTAAGAATCCCTATAGAACCGTTGGTGGAGCCAACGCAATGGCACCATGGCCTATGTATGTTACCATCCCATATAGAATATTTTGATGTAATGTTATGGTCTATGGGAGGGAGATATGCAACATCATCTCTTGGATGGTCACTCAACAGGTCATCGCAACATGTCGGCTAACTTGGCTAGCGTAACCCCGGGCCAACAACATTAGGCCCCACAAAGGAGTTTTGAACTATCTTTATGTTGAGGGAATATTTGTATGTCTTATAGAGTTACAATCATCTCACCTGATAGATATGTATTATGTATAAGTAAAAAAATTAAAATTATTACACTTATATATAAATGCAAAACTAAATTAATCTTACCGACAAACAAATGAAATGAATTGGTCACGAGACATTACCTCTCGAATAGTAAAATCATAAAATTGTGGTCTGGTTTGATGCAGCTTAAGTGTCCGATGCATTTGAATCCTATAATTTTGATTGAATAGAGGAATCATGGGCAGTCTTGCCATTCTCTTAACACTAGTGTTTGACTCACAGCTTCTAAAATGTTATCCTGTAAAATTTAAATTAAATTAGTTTTGATATTTATTTCATATGAAATTAACTAATACGAAAAATAATTTATGAATTACATTATCAATTGTTAGTTGCACGATGTGCTTCACTCAATGATGCAATACTTGAAGGTAAGAATGCTTGTTTCGAAGTAGAACTTTTAGCATGGTGGTAGTGGCCAGCCGAACCTGCTGCCTTGGTCATCTCTATTGAAGTAATTATAGTATTAATAAATAGAAAGACAAATGTTTTCTACAAAAAAATAATTACATTAAAGTAGTATAAACTTAAAATTTATGTTAATTACAGTATGTTGCTCTAATTTGCTAGTGCTTAGATTATAGGGACATGTTGCTCAATTATGTCACATATTTATTACAAAAATTACACATTTTTGTGCTTTTGCTTCTTGTCTCGTCCATTGTGTTTTTTATTCTAATTGTCCTTGGAAGACCATATCTTCCTCTAAATAAAGGGGGAAACATACCTTTTTGTTGATTGAACAGTGGTCACCACTCTTTCACAGATATCATATGAAATAATGTTTTGTGTTATGATAGAAATCTAACATGAAATATTTTGAAACGAAAGTTGTGTAATGCGATTGTCTAGCACACAATGCCACAATCACATGTATACATGACATGTGATAAATTTGTGGCTTATTGCATATGCATAAACAGTTTTCCTGAAGAAAGAATGTCAACCTGAAATTCCCGACAAGCCATATCAAATACTTGATATTCAAGATTATTTATACAAGTCGGTTGGGGAAACTAATGGGCCTTGCACTCAGTTCTTTGTAGAGTTGACATTGTGTGCGAAATAAGGTTAAAGCTCCCAACTTCAATCCATTATGACACATTGTTTGATCATTTTAAAAATAAAGCAACCAAATTATAATATATAAAACATATGAAGCCCTGAATCAGGAGTCCTCATTCACATCTCAAACCCCGTTGAAATATTCTAATGGATAAACCCCGTTGAAATATCCTGATGCATTTGTGATCATTGTACCAAATTGGGGTCCACCATGGTGTGTTAAATCTCATTTTGTGATATCTTTCTCAATTAAGCAATCATAGGCCTCCTTAATTTGTAATATCTTTCATGCACCTATTAAAATTTATGAGATCATCAGTATTTCCTGCCCAATACATTTGATCACAGACACTGTCGACATCCCCCACTGTAAGATGACTTAATGCCTTCTTAAAATTTTCTTGTAAGTGAAGCAAACAATAAAGCAATGTCGATATGCAGCCAATGGGAAAATCTCTCTACAGCCACAAACTAAAGCCGCTTGTTTGTCTGATATAATACACATATCTTGACTGGTCTGGACAACTTTTAGAAGAGCATAGAGTTGTTGCAGAAACTATACCCACAACTCAGTATTCTCGAACTCGATAACAACAAATGCAAGTGGAAAGAGTCCGCCATTTCCATCAATTTGTACTACAACCAATAGAGTCCCTTTATACTTTCCTAGAAGGAACATTCCGTCTATACTAAATGCAGGTCGACAAAATCTCCACCCACATATACTTAGGCCAAATGACCAGAAGATACTTGTGGAAGTGGGTAATATTTTTAACTTCAATTTTATATGTTATGCCTCTAATTGCGCTGTGTAATGCTTCAATTAATCAAAATAAGGAGCAATAAGCCTCCTAAAAACTACAAGAATTGATTTTATTGCTTTACTACGTGTGTCCCATGCTTTGATGTAACTAACACGGACATTAAATTTATTTCCTTGGGTTTTAGGTCTAATTATTGCCTTGAAACTGAACTGATGTAATGTCATATGAGCTTTGAAGTACAATTTCAGTGTTCAGTTAACATTATTGGACGGTTACATATATGTGCTAGCCCAATTACTGATATTTTCCATGCACCTTCCAATCGCTGAATTGACATTTACTTGAACATAATTTAAATTATTTTAATTAAAATGATAAAAAAAGAGGTACAATATAAATGCTAATTATTTTGGTATATGTAAGTAAGAAAAAAAAATGATTCATGACTATAAGAACTTCCAAGTGATGACTAGAGTACAAAGACCGCTTACGTCTCAAGCTCTTTTTAGGCAGTTTAGGTCTTTTTGACAAAGTTGTTTATAGTTTCAAAAGCAGT